TGCTGCCCTGTGCAGCCTCTGGACATTGTTCCCCAAATCCTGGCCTCTCCAGCTGCTGCTAGAGATCAAAGAGCCTCTGGCATAGCTTGAGCCACTGCTTTGGAGGGCATAAGCCATAAGTCTTGGCAGCATCCATGTGGTGTTAAGTATGCAGGCCCACAGCATGCAAGTTTGAAGAAGACTTGGCAGCTTTCCCCTCAATTTCAGAGGATATATAAGAAAGCTTTGGCCAGGCTCAGTTGTTCATACCTGTAATCCCAGCACTTTGGGAGGCTGAGGTGGGTGGATCACGAGGTCAGCAGAGAGCATCCTGGCTAACATGGTGAAACCCCGTTTCTACTAAAAATACAAAAAATTAGCCAGGTGTGGTGGCGGGCACCTGTAGTCTCAGCTACTCAGGAGGCTGAGTCAGGAGAATGGCGTGAACCCGGGAGGCGGAGCTTGCAGTGAGCCCAGACTGCACCACTGCACTCCAGCCTTGGTGACCTCTGTCTCAAAAAAACAAAATCAAAGGCTGGGCGCGGTGGTTCAAGCCTGTAATCCCAGCACTTTTGGAGGTCGAGGTGGGAGGATCACAAGGTCAGGAGATCGAGACCATCCTGGCTAACATGGTGAAACCCCCTCTCTACTAAAAATAGAAAAATTAGCCAAGGTGGTGGCCGGCGCCTGTAGTCCCAGCTACTCAGGAGGCTGAGGCAGGCAAATGGCATGAACCTGGGAGGCAGAGCTTGCAGTGAGCCAAGATCCAGCCACTGCACTCCAGCCTGGGTGACAGAGCCAGACTCCATCTCAAAAAAAAAAAAACCAAAACCAAAAACAAAACAAAACAAAATGAAAGCTTGGCTGCCTGCCCTGGCAGGAGCCTGCTACAGGGGCAGAGCCCTCACATAGAATCTCTACTAGGGCAGCACAGAGGGGAAATGTGGGTTTGGAGCCCCCACACAGAGTCCCCACCAGGGCACTACCTAATGGAGCTGTGGGGAGGGGGCTGTCAGCCTACAGACCCCAGAATGGTAGAGCCACTGACAGCTTGCAACCTCATCCTGGAACCAAAACAGGCAACCAACTCCAACCTATAAGAGCAGCCATGGGGGCTACACCCTGGAACACCACGGGGGTGGAGCTGCCCAAGGTGTTGGGAGCCCACTACTTGCATCACTGTGCCCTGGATGTGGGACATGGAGTCAAAGAAGATTTTGGAGCTTTGAGATTTAATGACTGCTCTGTTGGGATCAGACTTGTGTGGGGCCTATTGCCCCTTTCTTTTGGCCAATTTCTCCCTTTTGGAATGGGAATGTTTACCCAATGCCTGTACCACCACAGTATATTGTAGGTAAATAACTTATTTTTAATCTCACTGGTTCATAGGTGAAAAAAAAGAAAAAAAACCTCATCGCCATATGAAACTCTGGACTTGTGACTTGGCATTTGGGACTTTTGAGTAATACTGGAAAAAGTTATAACTTTGGGGAACTATTGTGAAGTCGATAATGTATTTTAAAATGTGAAAAAGACATGGGTTTTGAGGGGTCAGGAATAGAACGATATGGTTTGGATGTTCGTCCCCTCAAAATCTCCTGTTGAAATGTGATTCCCAATATTAGAGGTGGGTCCTGGTTGGAGGTGATTACCTGGTGAGGGTGGATCCCCGATGAATGGTTTAGACCAGCCCCTTGGTGACAACTGACTTTTTGCTCAGTTAGTTCATGTGAGACCTGAAAGACTTTAAAAGAGTCTAGGACCTTTCCCTTGGCTCTCTCTCTTCCCATGTGACATGCCTACTCCTGCTTTGCCTTCTTCCATGAGTAAGAACTCCCTGAGTCCTCCCCAGAAGCAGACCAGATTTAGGTGTCATGCTTCCTGTATAAGCTGCAGAACTGCAAGTCAACTAAATCATTAATCTTTTAAATTACCCAGCCTTAGGTATTTTTTTGTGGTGATGCAAAAATGTCCTAATTCAACTAGTAAAGGGAATTACAGTGACTGAGACCCATATTTATAGACACTTTCCCTGTGGGTACTCCCAGTTCTCAAGTGTAACAGCTAGAACTCAAGTAGAATGCATCAGAATTACTGAGTTGTGATATCGGTGTAGAGATTTCAGGCTACCAGGGTGGTTATAAATGAAGAGTAATCCCAGAAACTAGGGAGACACAGAGACAATAACATTAATACCTTCCAATTAAAATTCCTCAAATCCTTGACTGACTGTGGAACTGTGTGTCTACTGGGGGCACTCCAATGATGCCAGCAGAAAGCAGAAGGCGCCAGCAGAAAGCAGAAGGCTGCAGCTGAAAGGACTGGACAGAGATTTCAATGACTGTATACAGCAAATGAAATACTGTTTGGAATCTGAATAACACTAAGGATAGAGGAGCCTAGTAAAATCTTCAGGTATTCAATAGTCCTGTTTTAAAGCATAAACCAATGGCTCTGGATGTTAAAGGTGATCAGCCCTCAAATGCCTGCCAGAGAATGATTTCTCCTTAGAGGAAGAAGACATAACTCGGATATATTATTTGCAATGCCCTGTGTATAGTAAAAAAGTAATATCCATTGTAAGAAAAAGAAAATCATGACTCATCATCCAAAAAAAAAAAAAAACCAGCCCATAGAAATACATGCCAAGGTGACACACATGTTGGTATAAAGTAGTAAAACAATATGTTAGGGTGTTCTTGCATTGCTGTAAAGGAATGCTTGAGACTGGGTAATTTATAAAGAAAAGAGGTTTAATTGGCTCATGGTTCTGCAGGCTCTACAGGAAGCACAGTGATAGCATCTGCCTCTGGTGAGGCATCAAGAAGCTTACAATCATGGCAGAAGGCAAAGGGGAAGCAGGTGTATTAATGGCAAGAGCTGGAGTCAGAGAGAGAGGGGAGGGGACACACTCTTTTAAATAACCAGATCTCACAGGAACTACCAGAGCAAGAACACACTCATCACTAAGGCACTAAGCCGGAGATTCTCCCTTATAATCCAAATACCTCCCAACAGGCCACCTTTAACACTGGGGATTACATTCCAACATGAGATTTGGCAGGGACACAGATCCAAACCATATCAAACAGTTATTATAAGTTAAAAAGTTAAGAAAATCATGGTCTTAGTGAATGAACAGATGTGAAATCTCATCAAAAGACATGGAAGCTGCACAAATGAACCAAACAGAAATACTAGCACTGAAAAGTGTTAATACTGTAACGTACTTAACAGTAGATTGAAATAAGGGTCAGCATATTTTTGAGAGAGAGCCATAGAAATTATTTAACTTAAAGAGAAAAAAATCAGAAAAATGTAAAGTCTTGGTGAGCTGTGAGTCAATATCATATGATCCAACATACAATTAATTGAACTGAATTTCCAGAAGGAGACGAGAGAGAAATGGGGACGGTGTAGTAAAGAAATAATGACTGAAAGTTTTTCAAATTTTGTGAATAATATCTACTTATGTATCTATGACACTCAGAAAACCACAGCAGAATAAACACAAAAAGAACCATATGTCATAGACTAACTGCAGAAAACCAATGATAAAAAGTTACTCTTAAAATCAATAATATGCATTCTGTCAGATAAAAATGGAGGTCAAAATTGTTGGGGAATAAAATAAAAAAATCTGTACACCCAGAATTCTATAACCAGTAAAAACACCATTACAAAATTCATACAAAATAAAAACATTTTTAGATTTAAAAATCTAAAAAGAATTTGTCTGTAGCTGTTCTGCACTACAAGAAACACTAAAGGGACTAGGTATAGTGGCTCGCACCTGTAATCCTAGCACTTTGGTAGGTCAAGGCAGGCAGATTGCTTGAATCCAGGAGTTTTAGACCAGTCCAGGTAACATAGCCAAATCTCGTCTCTCAAAAAAAGAAAAAAAAAAAAAAAAGCTGGGCATGGTGGCGTGCGCCTGTAATCTCAGCTACTTGGGATGCGAGGTGGAAGAATCACCTGAGCCCAGGAGGTCGAGGCTGCGGTGGGCTGAGGTTGTGCCACCGTACTCCAGCCTGGGCAACCAGAGTGAGACCCTGTCTCAAAACTAACAAGAAATGCTATAGGGAAGTCTCTAGCCTGAAGGTAAGTGATAATAGGTGAAACTAAGATCTGCAAGAAAAAAACAAGGAGCCCAGGAAATTGTGTGTATGTGGAAATATAGAAAAGCTATTTTCTTCTTCTTTTAATTTCTGTAAAAGACAATACACTATTTAAGCAAAACTTAAAACATTGTGTTGTGTAGTCTATAACTAATGGGTATGTAAAATCTGACAGCATTTGCACATATAATTGAGGAACTGTCAAGTAGTTGTAAATTTCTTAACTTTATGTGAAGTGGTACATTATTAACTCTAAGTAGACTGTGGTAACATAAGAACAACCAGTGAAAGGGAAATAACACGAAGAAATACAGCTTGGAGCAACACAGCAACTAAAATGGTATTAGTATAAAAAAGAGTGAATTTGTCATCCCTGGAAATGTCCAGGTTGGAAAGTCATCAGATCAGGAAATTTCAGAAAGACAGGAAATTGATTACTTCTTCTTCCCCTTGAAAGTTGTGATTTGGGGTGTATGACATACTTGATTTTATTTTAATGCCTCAAAGCAAAATGTTTCACAAGACATGTTTTGCTCTTGAAAGTTTTGGCATCTTTCATGTGGCCACTATGGATGTTTACATTCATAAGCTCAATTACTTGGCCTCTTCCATACATTTAAAACAAAGGTAACACATGCTGTTATAATTTAGTTTCACCACCAGTTTCTTTGTTTTATGCTTTCAATAAAATACTATGTCTGCATTTGAGAAATGTTCTGTGCAATTATTCCTGAGAAGAACTGTATGAATTTTTAAATCTATTCTCACAGGAATATTAACAAATAACACACATATAAAGGAAAATGGAAAATGCTAGAACTCCACTCCCACACCCCTTCCCCATCCAACCCTCTCCCACAATGGGGTTCTGCCAAGTACTCCTCAGAGCTTAATCAAACTTACTTCTGTCCAGTTCTGATTCTTTATAAGGTCAGACGACCTTCAGGTTCTCCCACTTCCCGTCAGTGTATTGTGCTTCTCTCCAAGCACCACCACAGAACTGAATCCCATTGGTTTGAAAGAAGTATTTGTGCCTAACAGTGAAAAGCAAATGACATTTTTCTCCCAATGTCAGAAAACATGGGCAACCTGCTCCCTTTCCCCTTTCTTGGCGTCTCTCCCACCTTCCCTCCAAGATCAAATTGGCCTCCCCCAATTCTGTGGAAAAGAAAACAGAATTCCTGGGCCCCATGCCCAAGTGTTTCCAGCCAGCACGGCATTGCCAAGCCTAAATCACCAAGCCAAGGACCTGGGGATGGGCGCAAATGCAAATCAAAAAGGCTCTTGAGAAAGAGGGGTTTCTTCATTTTCTTTCTAGGCGCAGTAATCTATGAACACAGCTCCTTTTCCCAGGCCCTGCAACCTGCCCCTCTGATAGGAAGTGACCCTGGGCTGGCTTTTATCTTTTCTTTCACCTCTTATTAGAGTAGTGACAACTTGTTTTCTTCATTTCTTCCTCCACCTCGGCTTTTAGGTTTCAGCGGACTTCACGGTGCCCCACCCCCTCCAGGAAGACGCCCCCGCGGGCTGGCAGCTCTCCCAGCGCGGGGCGGGGTCCCAGACGGGGCGGCCGCGCGCGGGGAAGGAGGGTCCAGGCGAGCCGGACCCGCCCCCGGACCCCGCGTCTTCCCCTCCCCTCCGCGCGTTTACTTTGTTTATAACTTGAAAAATCCTCTTCCGTCTCCCTTCCCTGCCTCCTCTCCTTTCCCTTTCCTCTGCCAATACAACTAGACCCGCGTGTGGCGTCGCCGGTGCCCAGCATTCTGCGGGGCAGGCGGTGAGTGGGGCTGGACATGCGGGCGCAGAGCAGGACTGGGTGGCGCGGGCGCCCGGGCTGCGGGGCCGAGGTTGTGGTGAGGGGAGGCCCCAGGCCGCGGTGCCTGCGGGCAGGCGCGGGGTCGCGCGGCGTCCTGCGCTGGCGGTTCCCAGACACTGCGCTCGCGTCGCATCCTCAGGTGGTTGCAGAAGTTTCGTGGTGTCGGGCGTGCGTCTGCGGTGGAGACGCAGCAGGTTTGGGAGCGAGCAGTTTCCTGCCCAGGGATGGGGGTCCTGGCAGCACTTCACGGGGGCGGCCCTTTCGTTTCGGTCTGCGTGACAGGTCTCGCTTGATCGGGTTTCTCTTGGGTCTCTAACTGGCGTTTCTACGGCTTGGCTCTCACGAACTCAGGCCAGGCCACTCGCAGGTAAAAACGCTTTATGGTAACTTCTCTACATGCTCGGCGAGTGGAGGCGGTGACAGGAGAGAATCCGTCTCTCATATTGTCAGTTCGGGCAAACTGGGGCGATTTGGAGCTGTGGTTGATTTGTTTTTAGAAATAAAACGTTCATATTTAAAGACTTAGAATTTTATTTTGTGGCCTTATTTATCTTCCCTTAGGATCTGCAATTTAGTTTTTAATTTTATATTGCATTTAAAATGGAGCCACCAAAATAAGTACATGAAGATACAATGCACCAAACTTGATACTACTTAAACGGGAGTAGATTTCCTAATTTAATTGCATTCTCCTGTAATAGTAATACAAGACAACCTCCATCTGTCTATCTGCCCTCATGGTTAGCTGTGAAATACTAGCGGCATTTCCATTAAATGTAAAAAAGACAAGAATGCTAATCATTACACTCTGTGACATGGTTGTGAATTCTATAGGCGAGTGACAACAGGTAGGGGACATATAATCACTTTATGCATGATGTGAGTGGATACCTTAATGTCCATAGGAAACACTGAAATTTGATGGGAAGCATAAGTGAATTTATCAAAGTTTCCAATTGCATCATACTTAATTTATAGAAATCAATTGATGTTTATACATAAACTAGATAATACAGTAAAACAAAGTAAAATTCAGTTTGGCATGAAATAACACAGAATTGAGAAATTATTTTTAAGAAGATATAAAAAGATATGCATGAGAATCCAATAAAGTACATAACATTCTTCTGGGTACAGATATCATTTCTCTAAAACAACGTATAAGTAGAATCCTAACTGAATATTTTTGTTACTGTTTTTAACTATACTGTTTAGCTCATGTGAAAGAACAAACATATATTAATGTTATGTATATTACAAATAATAATATACAAAATATATAATTATTGTATATATTATATATAATTTTAACGTTTAATATTATACATATTCACATATATATAGTGGAGACTTTTTCATATAATAAAAGGTGTTATAAAACTGTGGTGATTAAAAGTCAGTGCAATAGAACTACTACCAGATGTGTAAATGAAACTGAAGAGACATGGAAGAATAAAAGGAAAGCTGGGATTTGATAAGCTTACATTTTAAATCAGTGAGAGGGAAGAAGAAATAACATTTAATTGAATGTGCTTGGACAAACAGGAATTTATTTGGGAAACCTAATAATAAAACTGGAACTTTTCCTCACTGTTAACAGACAAATGTAGTCCAGATGGCTTACTAATTTAAATCTAAATATATGCAATCTAAAAAGGAAAAAAGAAAGCCCAAATAGGTATTTGTGCACACTGGATGCTGGAAAAGCATTTCTAAGCATAATACAAAAACCTAGACCCATTTAGGGACGTGATTTTTGTTAACATTTCCATCCCCCCAAAAAGATACAAACTGGGAACGTTGTTAATAGAAAAAAAAGATAATTTTGCTAATATACTTAGAAAATTTATTAATGACCTTCAAAATCAATGACCCAGTTAAGGATAAAATGAGTCAACTCAAACAAAAGAAATAATAAGCAAATAATAAGCAGAGTGAATACTGTTAGCCACACTGATTATCCAAAACATATATAAAGTAAGACATCAATTTTTGCATTAATTTTACAAATTTTGAAAGTCTGATAACTTTAGGTGTTGTTGAAAATGCAATGAGGAAAATATAATTTTACAAACTTTTAGTGGAAATGTGAATTGGTGAAACTGTTTTTATGGTTAAAACTGTTCAAATTTACAAATGTTCATTTACTTACTGGAATTTTTCCATCAAAACATGCGCCCAAGTGTACAAATAAAAATGTCTGTCAAAGATGTTTAGGATTGTTTACAATGTAGAAAACATGGATACAACTCTGTAGCCATTTATTGGGAATTGGTTACATAATGTATGGTATCTTCAAAGGTAGAATAATATACAGTTTAAAACATTGTAGCTCTAAATGTTCTAACTTGGAATATGTCCAAAACATAAGTTAAAGTTAAAACACAAAATGAAACAAAGAACAAGTTAAAACACTGTGTGTGTGTGTGTGTGTGTGTGTAGTAAACATTTTTGTAAATAATTTGGAATATACGTTGAATTGTATTATGAGTAGGGATGTTGTATTACACACTTCTATAATGTATGCATGTGTATAAGAAAAAATTGATAGTGCTTGGTAATTTATACAGAATATTGCCTTCTTGAATATATTAATTGTCGTTTACTACAGAAGAAATATATTTCACAAAACCTTTCATATTGTCTCATTTTTTTTTTCTTTTATAAGTGTCCTCTTTCAGCTGCTTCCTTTAAAGTCCCCTTCCTTTTTCTCCTTGCCTAATATTGATGTTTATGATGTTTATTGCAAGCACAGCAGTGAAGAATTTTGCCTGAGAGATTTCACAACCGGTTAACTTTCATAAACAAAAAATACAAGAATGTTGATACTCATATGTTCACCAGCATTGTACTAAAATTCATTTTTATGGTGCTCATCCTTCAGTGTGAAAGAGATAGATATGCTAATCCTTAAGAAGGAAAACATCTAAAATTGGACTACAAAAAATTTTGTTTTTAATTGCATGACAAGGCTGGGTGGCGGTGGCTCATGCCTATCATCACAGTACTTTTGAGAGGCAGGAGTGGGCAGATTGCTTTAGCCCAGGAGTTTGAGAGCAGCCTGGGAAACATGGCGAAACCCCACCTCTAAAAAAATTTAAAAATTAGCCAGGCATGGTGGCACCCACCTGTACTCCCAGCTGCTCAGGAGGCTGAGGCAGGACAGTTGATTGAGCATGAGAGGTCAAGGCTGCAGTGAGCCATTATCATGCCACTGCGCTGCAGCATGGGCAACAGAAAGAGACCTGGTCTCAAAAATAAAATTGTGTGACAAAAATGCAGTGAAGACAAATGGTAAGTTTTGAAAGGATAATTTTAATATAAAATTTTAATACCTTTCATATAAAGAAGACAGAAATAAAAAGCTAACAGAAATGAACAAATGACAAACAGGCAGTTCACAGAAATAGAGTTGCAAATTGCTTTCAAACAAATAATAAAAGTGGCTCAGCCTCCTCATTATAAGATATATGGAAAATAAAACCAATTTTTTTTTTTAACATATCAGATTGACAACTACAAAAATGTTGATAAAATACTGTGTTAGGAATGTAACTTTTTGTCTGGGGTCTAAATTGATTCAAATTCTTTAGAGTGCAATTGGATAGTATCTTTAAAAATGTACAAAACTTTGATCCATCAATTCTCCTTTCAATAATTTAATGCACAGATGCACAGGAAGAAAATATTTTTTTCAGCATTTTTGATAATAGCCTAAATTTGGAAACGATTTAAGTTTTTGTCATTAAGCAGCCAGGTAAATGCATTATGTTGCAGCCATTAAAAAAAATAAGGTTATATGGACTGAAATGTAATTAATATCAACACATTTTAATAAATGAAAAGAAAAAGACACAGAAAAGTATATAGATGATTGCCATTTGTATAAAAACTATGTATATTACTTTATTTATGCTTAGAAAATCTCTTGGAAGACAAAAAAAATCTAATGTCTGTGGTTGCCTTTTGAAATGGGAAATGGGAATTGGAGTAGGTGGGGTTCTTTTGTATAAATGTATTGTGTAAATTTATGCACTGCTGGCTCCTTGAATTATATTTGTGTTTGTTTGCACGTAACATCTATTTTTTTAAAAGTCTGTTTTCGTAAATGTAAAGTTTCTTATCGAAATGACTTAACTGTATGCAACATGACATCTTGTTTTACTATAATTTTAAATACTAAAAGACTAGCTGTAAAGTGACACAATGAGGCGTTATTGGTAATCATAGTTGGCATGGTAATGTTTTCTTAATGTCTTGTATAAATAACATGAGAATATTGTTCGGATATTTTTGTACTCTAAATAACAAAAACATTTCCCTCTTGAAAGCTGAAAAGGAGACACCTGATATTCTCTTTAAACAATTTGAACCAAATTAATATGTTTAATAAAGGTTACGTATGGACTGTGGCTATCAATTTGCTTTCATTTAATCTCATCTTTTATTTTATATTAAAGCCAAATAGCTAACCTCCAAGATCCTTCACATTTGCTAAAGAGAATGAAATATTCTACCATACATGTTTTCTTTTGAAGGAGTCATTATGTTAATAAAATAATAAATATATTGATATAGGTTAAAAAACACTATAAAATCTTAGGTTTTGCCCTTTTAATTTTTTGAAAATTAATCACTCCCTAAGTTTCTTCTAGAATTGATTTTATGCAAAGATACAATTAAATACATATGTGTTAA